TGGCGTCTGCTCTGCAAGACTGACATAAGCCGTGGACTATGGTCTTCGCGTTCTTCTTAAAGGCAAATGGCAGGATAAATCCTGAAGACGAGTAGGAATAATACGTCTAGCAGGACAGAATTCGGCGCCCCTGAGCAGGCTCTACTTGGCGCCTTTCCCAAGGGACGGTACCCCCAAAGCGCCCTATGTACCGAAGCTTCAGTATATTGACCCGTGACGCCCAACCCCGCGTCCGCCCGCCTACGAATGGACGACCACACCTGATGCTCGTATTGCTTCATTTGCGAAGTGCAATATGAAGCGAAGGGATTGATATGAAGCGGCTGCGGTGCTGCATAGGATATATGAGTACATACATGCAGCCGTATCTACCGTAGCAGTTATTGGCACGATACCAAACTCGCCCGAAATCGCCTTCCGAGTCGTGCAGAACCAAGGCTTTTCTGCAGATTTGACCGTTTCACATCACTTTTTCGCCATCTTTCCTCACTGCAACAGCACCCCTGCTACACTTTGAGACCAAGAACCCTAATCTTCCTGCCATATGACTTTGAGCCCTCGAGACGAAAAGCGACAACGTAAGCACTGTAGAGTGACCTCTTCTAACTGAGCACCCACCGCTGGATCGCAAATATGAAAAAGAGAGCCAAATATAACAAAATGGGCTTGTTAGTTACAAGTTAGAGCTGTATACCCGTACGTACCATTTCAAAGCGATTTTTGTTATCATGGCTAGGTTAGACGTAAAAATTAGCGAACAGCGAACATTTCGACGAAAGAGCGAATGTTTTCAATGTTTTTGATGTAAGGTCGAAATACTGAGTGATTTACTGGAGAAGATGAGAAATCAGAACCAGCAATATCGATCAAGGAAAGATCATCAGATAGAAAGGTCATGCCTGTGATCTCGACGGTGACATCATTTGGAGCTGCTGCTGCTGCATGGATCATGAACGAAGCTGGACGACCAACGGAAGCTCCACGTAATTGTTCGCCAAATACGGAAACAGCCGATGCATCGGCAATGTCAAGAATGAAGGGTGAGCCTAAATTCGCACTTTGTAGTAAAGTAAATAGTATACTTGACGACTGTACAGTCTTATCCGTTGCAGATGAAGAGGCGTGTCAGTGAGCCTGCGTCTCGCACGCCGCCAGCCCTTTCTTCATTTGTTGTTGCAAGAGTAAGTGACAAAAGCTGGCGAAAAATGACTTATAGGAATAATGTGATATAGTCTTGTTGCTTCCTAGAAGAAAAAGGGCTGGCGCCGCGCCAAACTCATCCTCCTTAACACGCCCCATCATCCTCAGCGAACAAATACATTCTGTCATGTAAACAAATTAATTAATGTTCAAATGCCGAGGAATAAATTCGTCACCATACTGCTTGTGTAATAGAAAGTGGGGCTGCACAGGCGTTACCACTGGAGTCAGTCGGGGCGTGTCAGCGACGCATGGGTATTGGCGCGGTACCAGACCGCTTTCCATCGATCGTTGCGACTACTGCGCGTTCAGTGAGTCGTGGGAAAGGGACTGGCGCCACGCCAAAATCAACGCGCCCCTGACAATCTCCAACTGAGTTCAGTGATAACGACCGTATATTGTTAGGTTGCAAACGGAATTACTTGCGCAGCGTGCAACTTTACTAGCTTGCGAGCGATGCTTCTACTCGTCAATAATAGTACATACCCTGTAACCATAAAAGAAACAAGGACAGAGGCAGGCGTGCGGTTGCGTTGCGGCACCGGTCAGCGGCCGATCAATACTAAGGGCTACTTTGCGGCATGTTCGGTTAAGCGCCAGGATTCCAGGAATATTTTGCGAACATTCGATTATGAGTAGAGTTGTACAACTAGCGCGATTGAGAGGATTTCAATTTATTTTTGGAGCCTATTAACTAACTGCCGACTATTTAAGGAGTTCAGAATAGAAAAATCTAACTCAAGTCCCACCTTTCACTTCCATTCTGTTGAACAGTACATGAATTTTGTACTGACCCGCACCGTCGGGAACAAAATTCACGCGATACAATTGAGGACCTTCTTCCTCAACCGTTGACGGTATATGGCGTCCGTGACGTAGTACAGTAACCTAAAATCATATTTGGAGAAGGTGACATGAAACTGTTTACTGGGCGATTATTACAAAGTAGTAGAGAAGATCAAATAAGAATAGGAAGAGAGAGAGCTGGAAACAGACATTCCAGATTTGCAACTCGTGAGCAGTGGAATCCAGACTTTAACTCTTAGATACTGACTTATCAGTCTACTAAAAAAGCGACCAAATCGTCTCAAAACTCCTTGTTGAATAAAGACTGAACACTGGAGGAGTATTTGAGGAATCGAGACATTGCTGCGCAGGCGAGAGTTTAGAAAAAAAGGATAAGAGAACAGAACAACGATCGAAGATGACAGACACGGTCCCATTGATGGCAAGGCCCTACAGAGAAACTGCAGCGTCATCTCTATTTTTGTAGATATAGGACTACTGGAATACCTCATGTGATGGGGCAACTTCTACGGGTGGCGTTTCTTTGGCTTACGAGACTGCACTGTAGTTGTCACTAACGGCACAGCCGGGAAAAGGAGACCTCCTTTGAAGTTGCAGACCGAACCACTAGTACAAAGTATGGATCCTACAAATCAGGTGATTGCAAAATGTGTCCTTGAGGGAAATATCTTCTCAATTGATCTTTAAATGAATTTTAGTCTCCTTTAATTAGCGCTCGAATGAGAGGATAAATGGCATTTAAAGAGAAATAATGCGGAGCAGATTCCGGTAGTATAAACGGTCACTAGAACGGAGAAAAAGGACACAGGACAGCGAATCGTCAAAACTGAGTGGAGATCGGAACGGTAAAGCTACTTCCCGATATCAGCCTGGATAATGTTTTCCTTATTAGACAAGTCTGGCTGACTGACTGGGAGCTGAAGGCGTGAAATCTATCTATCAGCTGATGAGGCCTTCAAGTAAGAATTCCGTTTTGAATACGGATGTGTTCGGCTCAGTAACGCTAGAACAGTACGTTCACAGCGAGGAAAATACTGATGAGCACATATGATCAAAAGAACATCTTTAATAAAATAGTAAGTTATTTCAATATTTCAATGGTTTTAATGCAAGGAGGAAGCAAGGAAATACTTCATACATTTATTAAAGAACGTCGCAAAGTGCTCTCAGTGAGCTGAGCCAAAAAAAATCAAAACCTTATATTGAAAGGAAATTGAAATCATACTGCGAAGTAAAATAAACAGACAGACAGATAGAAGTCACATGAAGTCAGAAATGGTAAAAAGTAAGAATAAACAGTAAAAGTGAAGG